AGTACAATCATAAGAATAATCACTATCTATGAGTATCAGTCCAACCTAGTAATATTTAATGCCAATTAATATGTGCAGTATACCACCAATAAGTTCAGTGAATTGCTTTCCACAATTTTAAATGATCTATCCCTATTTCTAGTTTCCTCAACCATAATATTTCTTATCATACCTGTCAAACACAATTTAATGATGACTAAAGATTCAATATTATTTATGTTTATCGAGTGTTACCTTATAAAAAAAAAAAAAAAATTTATTTTATAAATAAGACATCTATGTATTAAATTAATATAATAGAGTTAAATTATTTACTTATTAATACATAATTTTTACTACTTCTTATTAAAAAGCTTTGGTTATTCTAAAATTTATTAATTAAATATTCAGAAAATGCATAATATTGTTTTTCATAATATATATATTATTTTTACTTTGCTTAAAAACAATAAATTATCTTTTATCTACTCATAATTTCTGAAAAATTATTTCTTTGATAATGATAACTTTTTCATTTACTTAAATCCTAATTAGAAAATCAAATCTTTGGAGCTTAATTTTAAAAAATACTTATCTTAACATTAATATTCCTTATTAAAATATCAAATTCCCAATTTCTTAGTTAAACTATGAAACAAAGTTCTTATAAACATATTTCAACATTATGATTATCCTGGATACTTATTAAATTGAAAAATCAATTTAATTTTTATTAAGAAATTCTTCTTTATACAATGATTAAAATTTATATTTGAGGATGATAGTTATAAATTTTAAGATCTGTTTGATTTTTTTATTTTGTAACTATTTTAATAAAAGTTTTAATTTATGAACAGTTTCATTCATTTTATATATTCAATAGGAAAGTCTTGTATTTAGTAATATATAATACCCCTAATGATTCAAAGATAAATTATATAGCATTAATAATTTTTAGTCATTTTTTTTCTATTTTTAGTACTAAAAACAAGCAGGAATTGTCTCAAAAATTATACAATATATTTAGAGTTAAACTTAATTTAACAGAAAAATAGTATTAACTAAAATTCTTTATTCTAATCCAGATAGCTAATCTATTTATACTTGATGAATCCTTTCAATAATTGAAATGCATGTTCATTACATCTTAAGTTGTGTTAAATTTTTTAATGTCAAAAACATATTTATGAACCTGATATTCAAATTCTTATTTATTATTTTCATATCACAAATATTGAATTCTTTAAATAATTAAAAAAAGTTATCCAAGTAAAAGATTAATTGTTTTTTACTTATTATTACTGTTGGATAAATTTTAGAGTCAAAATAGTTTTATAAATGAGTTGATTGATAAACTATATCCTAATAATCTGACATAAGAATACTATGTTGAATATTAATGTCTATATATCTTCAATTGATTTCATAAATAAGTTTTTATGTGTTACTCATTTACTGAAATGGAGTATGGTATTTTAAGAGTAGATTTTGAGTGCATTAACTGGAATAATTGCCCTTAAACTTAAAATAATAACAAATTAGATATTTATATTATTTAAGAACCAATAATATGAAAAATATANCATAATTTTTACTACTTCTTATTAAAAAGCTTTGGTTATTCTAAAATTTATTAATTAAATATTCAGAAAATGCATAATATTGTTTTTCATAATATATATATTATTTTTACTTTGCTTAAAAACAATAAATTATCTTTTATCTACTCATAATTTCTGAAAAATTATTTCTTTGATAATGATAACTTTTTCATTTACTTAAATCCTAATTAGAAAATCAAATCTTTGGAGCTTAATTTTAAAAAATACTTATCTTAACATTAATATTCCTTATTAAAATATCAAATTCCCAATTTCTTAGTTAAACTATGAAACAAAGTTCTTATAAACATATTTCAACATTATGATTATCCTGGATACTTATTAAATTGAAAAATCAATTTAATTTTTATTAAGAAATTCTTCTTTATACAATGATTAAAATTTATATTTGAGGATGATAGTTATAAATTTTAAGATCTGTTTGATTTTTTTATTTTGTAACTATTTTAATAAAAGTTTTAATTTATGAACAGTTTCATTCATTTTATATATTCAATAGGAAAGTCTTGTATTTAGTAATATATAATACCCCTAATGATTCAAAGATAAATTATATAGCATTAATAATTTTTAGTCATTTTTTTTCTATTTTTAGTACTAAAAACAAGCAGGAATTGTCTCAAAAATTATACAATATATTTAGAGTTAAACTTAATTTAACAGAAAAATAGTATTAACTAAAATTCTTTATTCTAATCCAGATAGCTAATCTATTTATACTTGATGAATCCTTTCAATAATTGAAATGCATGTTCATTACATCTTAAGTTGTGTTAAATTTTTTAATGTCAAAAACATATTTATGAACCTGATATTCAAATTCTTATTTATTATTTTCATATCACAAATATTGAATTCTTTAAATAATTAAAAAAAGTTATCCAAGTAAAAGATTAATTGTTTTTTACTTATTATTACTGTTGGATAAATTTTAGAGTCAAAATAGTTTTATAAATGAGTTGATTGATAAACTATATCCTAATAATCTGACATAAGAATACTATGTTGAATATTAATGTCTATATATCTTCAATTGATTTCATAAATAAGTTTTTATGTGTTACTCATTTACTGAAATGGAGTATGGTATTTTAAGAGTAGATTTTGAGTGCATTAACTGGAATAATTGCCCTTAAACTTAAAATAATAACAAATTAGATATTTATATTATTTAAGAACCAATAATATGAAAAATATATATATAATTTGAATTATGCATATTCATAAATAAAATATCTAATTAATAGAGTCTTTAATTATTCATACAAAAACCAGAATTTTCTTGATAAAACCTGAAGAAGGATATTAAGAAATAATCCTCATATAATTATTTTTTTATTTAGTATTTAATAATAAAAAGCAACAATCAGTATTATTGTAACAATGTAAAAATATATGATTAATATTAATATGTTCTTAATCAATATGACTAAACTTCCAATTAAGGTATTTGAGGATTTAAGGTTTCAATAATTTATGTTTCTAATTTTTAGCATTTATCTGTAAAATTGACAAGCCATGGAATATCTTGTTCACCAATTTATTATACAATTAAATTTCTAAGATGGAATTCTGCTACATTATGAATGACAGCAATTTGAATCTCTTCATTCTAAAAACACTTCAAATTATAAATACTTAAGGTATAAATGCAGTAGCTTTAGTATCAACTATTGCTTCACCAAGATTTTATGGATTAATTATTTCTTCTTCAGTAGCTTCATCTTCAACTGATTTTTCAACTCTTGTTTTTCCTGATTTAGGATGAAATCTTAGAGTTTCCATTCCTGGTTATAATTTGACAATACATGGAATCTTTTAAAAATCTACTTAACCTTTAATTTTTGACCATTTGATTTTAGGTCTATTTTCAAAAAGGTTTTTAATAACCAAATCAATAATTTGATTTACATTTTGAAGAAATTCAAATTATGTCCAATATTATTATAAACTATAGACAATATTTGATTTGATAGCATTTTCTATACCTTAAGTTAACTATTCAGGTAAAGTGGCTAGTGTTAATTCAGCTAAAATTTTAATTAATAGATGATACGTTCTATATCAGCTAACATTTAATCTATTTGATCTCTTAATCCAACTTCAATGATGGTTCCTTCTGGTAATGCAGCTATTGAATTGGTAATCAATTCAGATATATCTTCTATTGTTTCTCCAACTTATTGTAAAGCATTAATAATTATAACAAATTAACCTATAATACCTCCCAAATAACCAATAGTATTAGTTCCTTAATAATATCCATCAATATCTGATATTAAATTAAACCATTCTTTTTCTTCTCCTTTAGATATTAATTATTCTTGAACTGTCTCTTTTAATTTCTATCTTCTTTCCTTTTCCAATCTAATTTTTCTTCTCTCTCTTCTTTATCTATCAGCTTCTTCTTTTGCTATTCTCTATCTTTCTCTTTCATCTAATATTGATTATCTTCTATTTCTTTCTGAAGATAAAGTATTTTTATGTAATTAAAACATATTATCATCAATATTGTCTAACATTTAATTGTATTCAACAAGAATATTATTAGAATTCTATAATTCATTTGTTACATCTTAATAAATCCAAGGTAAATATTCAGATACTAATTATATTTCTACAGGATCTCTGAAATATCCACTAAGTTCCAATTATTATAATACTAAATTAACACATTTTGATAGATATTTCTTAGCTGATGCTCTACTGACTAATTTTTCATGTGTCTTTATATCCCTCTATTTTTAATTATGAAATTGTTATTTTAATTTAATATTCTCATTATATAACTGTTATTCTTTCTTTTCTAATCTATCTTATTCAGCCATTTCCATTTGCTTTAATTTTTAATAATGCTCTTACTTCTCCTTCATTTCTCTAAGCTCCTCTTCTTATAATACTTCCATTCTACTTAAATCCAAAGTTTTTCTTACTAATACTTAAAGAATTGGTTCAGCTTCATATTCAAAATTAAATAATTCTCCATCATCCCATACTTGAGTTTCTTCATCAATTCCTGTTTTCTCTTTCATGTACAATCTTGGTACAACTTTCTCGATAATGAATTCTGTTTGAGTTTCTTTGAGATGTCTAGGTGGTTTATCAGTTAACTCTTCAACATTAGGATCAGTTTGAGTTTCTTCATCATGAATAGTTTCATCCTCCTTTTTCTCAGTCACTACTTTAGTGTTTTGAATTCTCTTTATAGTAGTTTACATAGTCGGTTCAGATTTATTCAATACACTTGAATATGTATTCCCTCTAATGACTCTCTTATCCCACATAATGTTACAAGCCTCTCTATCCTCTCTATATTTCATCTTCTAAACAACTCTAGGTGGAGCATTGAATTCATAATTCTCTTATAATAATTCAGTAGCCATAATAATTATAATATTAATGGATGATCACATTTAATAAGCATGGCAATTCTACAGAAAATTGGGATCACCTAAATTTATATGTATCTCCATTAACTTATCATAGGTGCCCCTATGGTTGATTAAAGTGAACTTGCATTTAGAATGTTAACTAGAAAATATGGAGCCACATTAGCATACACTCCTATGTTACATAGTAGAATTATGACTGAATCCAAATCATACAAAGATGAATTCTTTACTACTTGTCCAGAAGACAGACCTTTATTTGCCTAATTATGTGGACATGATCCTTAAATCTTAATTAAAGCAGCATTAATTATCTAAGATCAATGTGATGCTATCGATATCAATCTTGGTTGTCCTTAAGGAATAGCAAGGAAAGGTCTTTATGGAGCTTATCTTTTAGAAAAGAGAGAATAAGTTCTGTAAATTTACTCATTTAAATTATAGAACCATTGTGAAAGAATTAAAATAAAATATAAATGTACCAGTTACTTGCAAAATCAGAGTATTCAAAGATCGTAAAAAAACTCTTGATCTAACCAAAGACATATAATAAGCAGGATGTTCTATTCTGACTGTTCATGGTAGAACAAAAGAACAAAATAAAGATTTTGTTGGTCAATGTGATTGGACTATTATAGCAGAAATAAAATAACAATTACAAATTCCTGTGTTTGCTAATGGAGGTATCTACACTTGGTCTGATGTTGAAAGATGTCTCCAAGAGACTAAAGTTGATGCAGTCATGTCATCTGAAGCTCTTTTAGAAAATCCTGCTCTTTTTTCTGGTGAAATAAAAGATTTAAATGATTTGGCTGAGGAATATATGCAATTTGCCAAATAATACAATGCCAGATTATCTGAAATCAAAGGACATCTATTTAAACTTCTTTATACAGGATTACAAATATTTACTGGTAATCTATTTTCATAATTATTTATAGATTTAAGATCTAAACTTGGATCTGCCAAAACTTATGATGAACATTTAGAAGTTGTTATAGAATTAAAAAATAAAAGAGCTAATGTTCCTAAAGAAGATAAATTAGGTTGGTATAAAAGATATTAAAATTTTAAATAACCTTAAAATAATAAAGATAAGAATATTCAAAAATTAGAAAATATTATTTAATAATAAGATTTATTGTTATAAAATAATGATCCAAAATAAAGTGAATGATTGTTAATATATAATTACAGTTTTTTTTTTCATTATTTTATAAATTAAATAAAATGAGTGATTTATTATGATTAATGAGTCTACAATCTTGATATCTAAAATATGTTTTATTCACTATCAAAACTCTCAATTATGGCTCTAATATCCTATTTCTTAATATCCCAATCAATAGATAGAATAAATGGCCAATTTAACAATTTCTACATTTTATAATTTAATACATTTTGCTTTTATGTAAGGATCATCAATATTTCTATCTATTCTTCTTCAATGATAGGTTACTCAAACATTTTTATAAATGTGATTGCAACTGTATAAAAATAGGATAAACCTTTATTGAATAATCCATCTAGATACATCTATGAATATTCAAATGGTATCTATTGCAATAATAAACTTAAAATCCATTATTATATGTATAATTAAGTTTGTACTTATTTATCCTTAAGGTTTATATACAATTTATATTAACATCTACAAATGTAGAAATCTAATATTTAAGAATATTTATTTAAAGAATTTTAAGACATTTAATACATATCCCTTATTTCCAATTATTCAATCAATAAAACAAATAGCCAAAATCCTATCCACTCCTATTTTGCATGGTTATATAAAACAGAAACTATATAATTCATTCCTTATATATATCCTATTGATGGATCAAAAATAGAATAAGCTAATAAAATATTTTTAATCTCTTTGATTTTATTTTCTGCCAGTAAGGTTCTTTTAAGATCTTTTTCAATTTGATAATCTATATATTATTCAGGCTTTATTAATAATAACTTTTCGTATTACTTTTTTAAGTGATCAAAATCCTAAATCAAATAAAAATATATACTTCATTCTAATATTTACTTTTTAGCCAATCTATACAATATAAAGGAGTTGAATTTGAATCATTTATTTCTACAATATTTTTGTCTTTATAATTAGTTTTATGATAAAAAATATTTTCTTTAGGTTTAGTTTGAATTTTTTTTGTATTAGGAATCTTATTAAAAATGGGGATATCATACTCAAGGAAATAATTGTTTTAATTTAACATCCCTTATGAATTATTGTATACTTTAAGAACTTATTAACATTATGATTAACTAAAAATATTTAATATGAATATACTCATAAGCATTTCTCATTTTAATATCAGTTATAAATAATTATTTATAAAATACAATACAATAAAATATATTATCTAATTTATTAATAGAACAATAAATCTCTAGATTATTTTTTGGTATTACATTTAATTATTGAATAATATTATCCTAGGATTTTCCTTTAATAATTAAAAAATTTTATATGAAAGAATTTAGTTAATATTATTAATTATGTCTAGAAACTATTTTAAGTAAAAAGTATTATTAACATTTGGATACAATGGAGCAAATTATCATGGATTATAAATCTAAAAAGGAGTCGATTTTGATACAGTGGAATCAAAGCTTTTTCAAGCATTAAAAGTGTCTGTAATGTTCAAATTAATGAATAGAACTTAATAATGGAATAGAATGGAAATGATTTATCAAAATCAGGATGGAGTAGAGGAGCAAGAACAGATAAAGGAGTTCATGCTTTATGTAATTCAATTGCAGTGAAATTGTGCATAAATAAAGAATTCTTTAAGGATGATGTATAGTAAAATGATGAGGAAATAGTATCAAAGTAGAAGGATAAAGCAAAGGTAGATTATGGTAAAGTATTAAATGTAATAAATTCCAATTTGCCTAATGATATTAAAGTTCATTCAATAAAATTAGTAACTTAAGGATTTGATGTTAGAAAAAATGCTAGATATCGATTTTATGAATATATAGCTCCAGTTTCAATTTATTCTGAGAAAAAAGGAGAAGAAATAATTGAGAAAGTGAATAATTTAGTTAAGAAATTTGTAGGCACTCACAATTTTCATAATTATAGCAGAGGTATGAAATACACTGATCCATAATCAATGAGATATATATTATCTATTTAAGTGGAATTATTCAAATATGAAGAGAAAGAGTTCTTTAAATTTTTAATTCATGGATAAAGTTTTATTTATCATTAGATAAGAAAGATGATGGGAATTGTTATTTAAATTTTTTAGGAGGAATTACCTGATACTTTTATTGATAATACATTTTTCAAAAATTAATTAAGAATAATTTTGGCACCTGCTGAAGGATTGTTTCTTAATCGTATAAGTTTTGAAGGATATAATACTAAATTTGATATACCTTAAAGATTGGAAATTGAGGAGGAAGATTAAATTAAGATTGACTAATTTCGACCAAGTATATATATATATATTTATTTTAGCAATTGTAAATTTTATTTGTGAGTAGGAAATTAAAAATTAAACGTTTTCTAATTGGTTGAAGATTTTAAAGGAAAAGAATTTCAATATTGAAGAGGAAGAAGATAATAATAAAGTTGAGAATGATGATTGATATAATTTGATTATGTAGAATGATTTTTTAAATTTATCATATCATGAATAAAATATTCTCACTTTTACATTAAAGATAAGGTGATCTTATTCAAACATTTAGATATCAACTATTAAATTGCCTGATTAAATTTCTTTAGGTAACATTTATTCAGGTGGTCTATTAACAATAGTAGAATCCCAAGTGTTTACAGTATCAGGCATAACAAAACCAAATTTAAATACAAAATGCTCAATTTTCTTATCATGTAAATAAGCCTATATTAAATTATGATATTGTTACATCTTAAATTAATATTAAGTCTTATAATTTCTCTTTAGTTGAAAATTAGATTGATCTAGTAGCAGCTTTTGAAGTAATGATTTTAGGATCTAAAGTAATATCAATTAAATCTTGGGTGATCTTTAAATTATTATATTTATTATACTTTCTCTGTAATAGAATCCCAATAAATTTATTAAGTTTCTGAGTCTTTCATAATTACTCTTTAAATTTAGAAACCATCTTTTATTTTCTAAACTTATTCAGCAGTCAATTCTCTTTTCTTTTTTTGTATTTCCATTCTTAATAATAAAATAATAATATATATATAAAAATGATATTTGAAGTTTTTGAATTTCTCCTTTATACTCCATATTTAATATTATTTACTTGATTCCAATATTAATGGCTGCTATGGCTTATGTAACAAATGACAAATCAAAAATGAATAGATGGTTATACATTTTTTACTTATCAATATATTGAAACACACTATATTTCCAATTCTAATATTTATTTCATTCTGTAAAATAAATAAACAAACCTAACCATTAAATAGAAATTCTTAATGAAACTTAAGCTATATGTATATTGATATTACCAATATATATTTCTTTTGATATATTGGAATAATTGATTGAAAATGATTATGTAATAGATATTGATTTAAAGTAGAATAATATACTCGCTCCAAAATTGAAATTCTAAGGAAAATGTCTTATGAAGGATTATTAAAATTTAATTTATTATTATTATGAATTGTCAAGAATTTATATTCAATTAAATATAAGATTATAAAATAATTACGCTTTTTCATAATAATATCTCATTTTAATATTCAATATGATGAGATGACTTATTATTGTACCTGTTAAATAGGAGATTTCTTTAAATTTAAATGAAATTTAATTTATTGTGTATTCTTAATGACAGAGACAGTAGAACATCTTCGTGATTTCAATTACTTTAAATTGAATACAGATGTAAAATCTATTCTAGCTGAATACATATGGATTGATGGAACTGGAGAAAGAATGAGATCAAAAACTAAGGTATTTAATTCAATTATTTTCTTAGGTATATAAAGACCCAATTACTAAACTATCTGATTTAGAATGGTGGACTTATGATGGCTCATCAACAGAATAAGCCAATACTAAATGGTCTGAAATATATTTGAAACCTGTAGTCTATGTTAAGGATCCATTTAGAGGAAGTCCACATGTTTTAGTATTGTGTGAAACATATCTCCCTGATAAAAAAACACCAGCTCGATATAATTTTAGGTATTTTTTCTTTTAAATATATTTTTAGATTCATTGCCAATGAAATTATGGAAAAAGCTAAAGACTTTAAACCTTGGTTTGGAATTGAATAGGAGTACTTTTTATTAAAGAGGACTGGTACTACTCATATTTGGCCTCTTGGTTGGCCAACAGGAGGATTTCCTTATCCTTAAGGAAGATATTATTGTTCTATAGGAGAGAGAAACAATTTTGGAAGAGCTTTAGCAGAAGCACATCTAAGAGCTTGTTTAAATGCTGGTCTCAAGATAGCTGGTATCAATGCTGAGGTTGCACCGTCTCAATGGGAATTCTAAATTGGTATAGCTGAAGGAATTGAAATTGGAGATCATCTATGGTTAGCCAGATACATATTAGAGAGATTAGGAGAGGAATTTGGTATCGATATAAACTATGATCCAAAACCAATTTTGGGAGATTGGAATGGATCAGGTGCTCATACAAATTATTCAGATGTTAAAACTAGAGGTCCTGGAGGATATCAATATATAGTTAATGAATTGATTCCATTATTACAAAACACACATTAAGAAGTGTTAAAGTTATATGGAGCCAATAATGAATAGAGATTGACAGGTAATCATGAAACAAGTTCATATAATACTTTTTCATGGGGAGATGGTTCAAGAGGAGGATCCATCAGAGTACCTGTAATTACAAAAGAATTAGGAGCTGGGTATTAATAATAATCCTATATATTTTTAGTTATTTAGAAGACAGAAGACCAGCTGCTAACATAGATCCATATTTAGTAAGTGCAGTCATTGTTGATGTCGCTTTATTAAATAGTACCTATGTGAATCAACTTAAATAATTATTAGTTGATTCTGCCAAGCAATTGTGAAACATTATATTTTATATTAATTATTGTTAAACAAATCTAATATAATATAAATATATTCATCATTAATAAAAATTACTTGTTTTTGGAGGGGTTAATAAATACGGATGAATTTGGGTATTATCTTATTAAACAGGACGACTTTATTCTTATTTAAATGATCCTTATTTAACTGGATATTATTTTGGAGGTTCAATAGGTGGTTCAGTATTGGTTAAAGGCATCAAAGTTTAATGTTGTTGAGTTTATATAAATTAATTATACATTGGCTACATTGGTTCATTTGGAGGATATTAAGGATAAGCTCTTGATGCTTATTTCATAACAGGTACTTTTTTCAAAGAAACAAATTTAGCCAAATCAATATTTAATTCATACAATGCACTTTAATCTATTATGATTTCAGGTACACATTTGTTGAACTATTTCATAAATTAATTAGATTCATGATAATATTCCTCATTTTCTTAATGAAGATTAGATGTATAATATTTTACAAGAGTCTTCACACATCTATCTGTATTCAACTTTTCCAATAAACTCATTAATGTCTTCCATCTTTATTATAAGTATTTACTAAAGTTTTAAGATTGATTAGTCATAAATCCTCTATTTCCCTCTATTTCTTAGGCTAATTCTGCTTCCAAAGTATTGAAGAAATTATCAATTACTTAATAACATTGTTATCTTGCTTATTTAACCTTATCCATATAATAATTAATTCCTTCATTTAATGCTGTTACCTTATTCAATTATCCCATTTCATCTACAAATCTATTACAATTGCCAGCTACAGATTAATACACTTCTGTTAAACAATTCTCAAGAGTGTCAAAATCTCCATATGTATTATATGCTTGATGTTCTTATGAATGAATCTTAACGCACTAATTTATTAAATTATTCTATACTTATGGACATAAGGGCATTTAACAAGTTTGACATCTACAAAACATAGTTATATATTAATCAACATGATAATGACAATTCACCTTAGGCATGCTTTCATAAGTAAATTAATAATTAGGAGCTATTTTTTATGGAAAATTATTAGAACTAACAAAACCTTTCTAAAAAAATGTTGATTGCTGAATCTACTAAGACTTATTAGGGGTAAGATTGAATAATCTATTTTCTTACTTTTGAGTAGCCATTTTAAAAAAATATTTATTTAACGAAAAAAATATTGAATATTATTTTTTTTTTTATATATTTATTATAGTATAAGAGTTTACAACTAGCAATTTAAATTGTCATTTAAAATAGAGTAGAGCTATTATTAACAAATTAAGGATAATATCTATTAAATTAAGAATTTTTAATTTAATCAAAGAAGTTCTATTTAATCAATAGATCTCAAAAGTAACACAAAATGAAAAGTATTAAATTACATAAGCTTTTCTTTTTAGTAATATAAACCAAAAAATTATAATCAAATATTATGTATAATTTAATCTAATAATTAAAAATAGAGTAAGATTATTTGATTATAGCATTTAAGTTGAATTACTTTATCATTGAATATAATTTAATTCGTAATCTTCAAATGATAAATAAATATAAATACATTATGGATTAAATGTTTAATTTGATGATGGTTTGTAAAATAGCCGAAATTTCGATTAAAAATTAAGTATATTAGTAAGAACTTTTAAATTAATTGTATAGTTGAAATTTATTTTTTAAAACTTTTTTATTTACAGAATTAATATTATATAGATTATGAAAATTTTGTTTAATTATCTAGATAAAAATAACTAAGATAATTATAAATTCAACTATCAAAATTATTTAATTGATTGTATTATTTATTTTATAAACTCATATAGGTATTTTCTATTAGCTTATGATATCCATAAACTGAATTATTATTACTTTCAATTTATAAAAAGATTTCAATTTTATTTATATTTACTATAAGTTTGATAAATAATAATTTTGTAATAACAATTAATTTTTTGATATATATTTTTAATAAAATATAATTAATGGAAAAATGAGGAAAAATTGGTAATAGAGAAAAAACAAAGGAAATTTAACCATTTTTTATAGAATTAAAAATAGAAACCTTTACATATGTTATAGTTTAATTCTAAAAATAATAGGATATAAATTTTGTTAATTTCATACTTTAACTATGATTAATAGATAATATAAATATGATATATTCTTTATTCAAGCCCATAATAGATAGACATCTACATTTAATAGAAATAATTATAATTATTATCATTTATATTATTGATTTATCTTTGTTTTAATATAATTATTATGTATAATTCTTTTTATTATTCAAAATCTAAAAATAGCCTTACATAAAAATAATTGTCTTCATCTTTACATCATTAATATAATAAATCTAAGTCTCATTTTTTGGTATAATTTTATATACTTTTGCTTTTATTATCTTATTTATAGTTTTTATTTCTAACTAAATTTCAGTTATTTCAGGTTGTAAACCTCATGTGGGAGCTTTTGATTTTAATAATTATAACAAAGATTTAAGATTTTGCATAAATGAACAATTTAAACAATAATCTAAAGAAAGATTTTACAATAGTTAAAAATATGAAGATGTACTTTGAAAAGAATATTGGATAAATAATTTAACTTAATGAAGAAGCACCTCAAGTTGAAATTTCCTCAAAATCAGATTATGTTTTATTACCTGATTTAAAATCAATGGTGGTCAACTTCATAGATTTAGAGATTGATGATGATCACAATGAATTAAACATTAATCAATCAATGTATACACTTTCATCGACAGCTGCTTCAAGTATTAAATTAAATAATTTTAGATAATATATTCCCAGTAATAAGATAAAGTTTGATCGATGAATCCTTTTGCTTAAACTCAGAATGTGAAGAATTTTGAAATTATTGTAAAGAAAGAGATAAGAAAATAATAAATGATATATCTTTACTCTAATTATAATTACTATATATATAACATTTATTAAAATTAACTATATATATTTTTGATTCAATTTATTCAAAAGAATGAAACAAAAATCATATTATAATTTTCATAATTTCATTTTATATTAAATCAAAAATTAGTTAAATCTAAGTATTCAATTTGATAGGTAAAAGAGTAGAATAAAACTGTTTATTTTTATATGAATTAGTTCACTCATTCATACTATTATACAAATAGTAATAAAATATTCTATTATGGATTATTTGAGATCAAATTTTTTCATTAGCTAACTTTTTTTAATTCTAGCTTTTTCAATCAAAATTTCAATTTTTTGTTAATTTCTGTTTTTAAAAACCTAAAAATGAAATATTTTTAATTTTCTTTATTTTCATAAAAGTATCCTTTTAGTTATAAGTATTAGAAATCAAATAATATTATATTAAATTATGAATCTTTGTCTTGTTGTTTTTGGAATATTAAAATTTTTATTCATATATTATTAAAAATAGCTCGAATTATATTTAGAATAATCAATAAATATACTTTTATTATAAGATATATAATAGTATTTTTATAAGTATGATATAAAAATAACATTAACATTTTTACTTTAATCATAAAATGTAATTATAACTTCATCAAATATTTAACAAAACTTATATTATTATATTAAAAATAAATAAAACTTAGATGAATGACTTAAGTTGATAGAGAATAATTTAAAGATATATAAATTCAATTAGTATCATATTTCTTTCTTTTATTATTATATTAAAAGCTTTGTAATACTATATTTTTTTTCATTCTTTTTACTTTCCAACCTTTGTACAAACTATATATGAAAATCAAAACTAATATTCCAATATAACTTAATATCAAGATAAGAAGAATGTCAAGATTACGAATGAAACATTCATTTATATCTTCACAATCATCTTCATCATTTATGGAATCCTTAGTAATATTCTTACTAGAATTCTAAGACATGTACTTTTTGTTTTATTTTAAATTAATTAATATATATTTATTAAATAAATGATTCATTCTAATGATCATAATCATAGAAGGAAAAAGAGAGCATAATTTAAACATTAAGCAGGACCTTTTATCATATTTTTTACTATATTAATGCCAACAAATTGTGTAATTTTAGAATAGTTTGTATTAATATTGAAAAGATTAGTATTTCGATTTGAAAATGGATCCTACAACTGAATTAATAAATGGATTTTTAGTTTTCTTTTTTTATGGAATGGCTATGTGGTCATATTACTAATCGATTACAATTAAAAATTATACAATAGAAAAGGCTACTCCATTATAAGATAATAGAAGAATTGATCCTATATATAAAAATACTAATTCTTGTCTTGAATGTAACAAATGGAAACCAATACGAACACATCATTGTTCACTTTGTGGTAAATGTATATTAAAAATGGATCATCATTGTCCATGGATACATAATTGTGTAGGTTTAAGAAATCATAGATCTTTTTATCTATTTACAATGTATATGACTGTATTTATAAATATATATATATAGATTGGTGCAATGTAATATAGTTATGCATCTTGGGTTTATTTTAGATTTTTGTTTCGAAGTAGCCAAGGTTTCTTTTCTCATCAATCAACCTTCTTTTATATTTATTGGTGTTTAACAAGTTTAGTGTTATATCCAACATGTGCTATGTTATGCTTCTTATTTTTTTATCATACATCATTAATTCTTAATAATTAGACAACATTAGAATAAATGAGAAGTGGTTCAAATGGAACTTGTTGTTTTCAAAATGACAAACCTCCAAAGAACATTAATTTGTTTGATAGAGGAAAACTATCTAATATAGCTTGGTTTTTTAATTACTCATATTTTTGGTTTCTTCCATTTGAAAACATTTATAAATAAGATGGTAAAATTAAAATTTAAAAAAAGGAACTTAATATCCAATTGCTCCTTTATGTACTCTTTAAGATATATAAATTGATAATCCTTAAATATAAATTGGATAAATACCAGATCAACAATTTGATTTTGATAAAATTGACTAAAAATATGAAGAATACTTAGCTATTGCCAAATAGAAATATAAAAATAAAAGACTAGTTCTAATTGGAAAGGAAATTTAACTTGATTGATATTCATATGATTAGATTATAATTTAAATACATATATATTTTTTTTTAAATAAAAAATCATATAAATTATCAATATATTTATTATAATTTAAGTATATCTTAAAAATCTACATATTTCTATTATCCTATTAATAATTAAGTTAAATATTTTGTATTAAATAATATTTATAGTAATTTAGACTTAATTTTTAAGTAAAGAAATTGATAATCAAATGAAATCTCTTATCTAATCATATTGTATTTTGTAATAATACTAACTTAATCATTAATTAAAACATAGCATATTTAATTTAGTAATTGAATTTATATATGATATTTATTAACCTATGATTAAAAAGCTTAATTAATATTAAATACATAAAGTATATAGTTTTTGATAAAGATAGATATGATAACATTCATAATAATTCATTAAAATAGTTTATTTACTAATCTTTGTTATGAGTGAGACATTACTCTACTAGCTGAATGAGAGTCTCTGAGATCTGCACTGTTATCTTATCTAGAGAGAAGTGGTCTTGTTCTAATGCGAAAATTTTGCCCAAAAGTTAGATTTAATTATTGAGTATTTTGGATATTATGCTAAGATAGTTTTCTATGGATTTTTTCATTTTAACATACTCTTTATCGAATAAGTTTAATATTAAAGTTCTTGAGAATATCCTTAGTCTTTTCACAATCTAGCATAAATTGCTGCTTTTTTTATATCAGTATTGGTAAAGCAACTCCACTTCTCTATTTATTTTATACAGGTTCTTCTACACTGCGATGAGTTTAATTTATTTTAGGTTCCAGAGATGGTTTATGAGCCAACATTTTAGCTTAACGTATCAAGTTGCTTTTCGGAATTTTATTATCTCCTTATAGCAATTCCTTGAATGCAGCAGTCAATTGAAATTACATATATAAATAATAAATTTTATATTGAAAGTTGCTGATTGAGAGAATTAAGATCGATAAACAATTATATATAATATTGATCAAATAAAAAAAAGAATTTGAAACTTTGTTGTTATGGATAATGCTAAATTAGGTTTTTATATAGATTTTTAATTCCTTTCTTTATTATTTAAAAAATTTTTAACACTTAATAAATATTAGAATAAATGAAATATTGTATTATTGCTATATTAAATATATTATCAATGTAATGATATTACAATCAAATTTGAAATATAATAGGAAGCTTAAATGAAGTATTTAATTGAATTATAATAAATATAATAATTATGTATAATAAGAAAACAAAGTTGTATTTTTCATTATTATATTTTGTTTTCTTTACTTTATTAAAGTATGAAATTTAGTAGATCCTTTTTCTTTTATTCAAATGTTAAATTTTTTGAAGAATTAATGTCTTGTAATTTTTATAGAATTGTTTGAGTATTATAAGTTGGTTCTTTTAACTATTTTATTTATAATATAATTTACTTTAAGAACAAAATCATCTCTATTATCATAGAGCTATTATTCTGATAAGGCAACTTGTTTTTTAACCTCTTCTGCATATGAATTTATATCATTTGAAAATAATTGAGCAGCTCTAGGATTAAAAGAAGTGACACAATCATAATAACTTACATCAATAAACATTTCATATAGTTTATTTAATAAATTATATACCATGCAATCTTACCCATATTTCCATTTTGGTATTAATGTATCAACATCTACATTATTATATTCATCAATTAAAGGATGGAAGAGTGGACAAAGAAATCTTATTTTAGGAATAGATTCTGGAAATGTTTTAGGGAAATTTAATACAAATTTAAATTTTCCTTTAGCATATAATCCATATGAAATACTAATCATTCCATGCCATTCTATTTTTATTATCTAAACATTTACCTGTAATTTATTCAGTTTTTGGTAATAAAATGATAGAAAATTTATGTGCATATACTGATAGCAATTTACTAATTTATACAAATTTTTATTACTATTCAAACTTAATGATATTATTTCTTGTTTCTGGATCTTTTGCTGCTTTGTTGATAACTTCTTCACTTAAAAAATTGGATGATTAAGAATTAAGTAAAATCTCGTTCATTTTTCAAATTAACTAAATTTATATAAATTTTAATATATTGTTAGAATGTCTTTATTTAGAGATTAATAGTTCTTCATTTAATAATAAATAGTAATTTTAAAATATAAAAACTCAGTATTGTTAAGAATTATCTATATATTTAATTTTGAATATTAATGAACAATATAAATATTTTTATTATTAAATGGAAGATTGCTTATTTGAGATTAAAGGGGCTGGGTATAAAATATTGTAAATTTTTAAGTTCATAAATAACTATTCAAAAACAATTGGAGAATGATGCACAAAGTGATGACTAACATATTGTGATTAATGATAATGATGAATTAATGCCTTTATTTAAAGTGAATGTTGATGGAGTTCAAAGAATTTTGGAGATTATTAGATCTAATATTACCAAAATTGAAGAACTAAAAAAAGGATATACTAGTGCAACTAGATCAGATGCAGAAAAAGGTTGTTATATATAAATTAAATTATCTTATAGATGTAAGTATGAAATTGGATAGAATAATACAATAAAATAATTAATAATAAGAGAAATTGAAAAAATTAATGGAATAGATAGCTTAGGATGTTGAAGAGGCTAAAGAAAAAGAACCAGATGAACCTGAAACAAGAATGAAAATGGATATTTGGGCTGCAGTTAATCTGAAAGTTTAGGGAGTTTTGTAAGAGAGTCAAAAAGCTCAATTAGATTTCCAAAACAGTATGAGAAATAAGATTAAAAGACAAGCAGGCTGTTTGGATTCAAATCTAAATGAGAATTAAATTGATGAATTATGTGAAGATCCAAATGTATGATTTATTTGATGTAGAAAATGCAAGAACTATTACAAAAGAAAATCTATGGATAAGCGTCGATACAATTATAGAACGCTGTTCAAGATATTCAAGAAAAATATCAAGATATAGTTAAATTAGAGAGAGTATAATTAAATATTTACTTTTTTTTAAGAGTGTTCAATAAGTGTATTAACTTTTTGTAGATATGGCAGTATTGGTTAAGAATTAAGGAGAATTGATTGATAATATTGAATAAAACATGGTAAAAGCAAAGGATTACGTTAAAAAAGGAGAGGCATAATTGATTAAAGCTAAAAAAGATCATTAAGCTGCTAGAAAAGTATATATATAAATATATTGATCATAGAAAATGTGTTGTATTATTATGATTGGACTAGTATTAATATTGGTTATAGTTGGTCCTATTTTAGGAACTTCTTTATGAATATATAAAGATTTATTTAACTTAATATATTTAATTTAATGAAAATATAAAAGAATTTATTAAAATTTATGATTAATAAAAATTCGATATTGGAAAATCATTTAATATTCATAAATCTTTACTAAAGTGAATAACTATAAATAGTACTGAGTCCAACTGCAGCACTTTTGAGTAAATTAAAAGTAATTTTAATCCCATAAAGTTTAAATGGGTTATTTCTAGAATCATATTGAATAATTCTAATATTATCATCTAATTCTTGTATGATAGATTTAATGACTTCCTCTACTTGACTTTCATTTTGTAAAAGCTATTTGAATTTCTTATGTATATAATTTTAAGGTTCTTTGTTTTATTCAAAGTAGACATCCTTCATTCTTAAAAGATCTTAATATATAGATTTAACATCTTAGAGAGCTACTTCACATTAATCCAAATAAGTATTTAATTTAGCACCTAAGTAAAGATAGTAGGCAGTAAAGCCTAAAATCATGATTGCTAATTCACCTAATAGGATGAGTTGAAATAGGTCGAGATGGACAAAATCTAAAATTAGCAATAATGATAGGAATATTAATACAATAAATCCTAAGAAACAGAGAGAATAAAAGCCTTATGTTCTGAGATTGTAAGTTTGACCATAATCAAATGAAATTGCTCTCATCATTGACCATGCTTACCATGTAGTAATATTATTAAAGTTAAGAGTTGGTAATAATTTAAGTTATTCAACTTGATCTGGTCTAACTTTTATTATAAGTAATAATTATTCAAGTAAAAAGAATTTCCTATTAAAATCATAAAAAGCTTAATGAAAGAAAATGTTGCTACCCCAAAATCCAATAAAAGATGAGACAATATTCAATACTTAAATTATATATAAATATATCTATACCCATTCTAAACATATCTAATGCTTCTACTGAATCAAGTAAATCACTTATTCTCAACCACATTGGAGTTGTTGAAAGAATAAATGCTTCGAAAACACATAAATACATATGAGTGTTAGGTGAGTTTTTCGTTTAATAATGATTTACTAAGTAGCCAAATAATTTAAAACCAGAGTATTCATCATCATCTAAGGATATACCTGTATCTCTATAAAAATTGATATCAACTTTTGCAATAGCTACTTTTGTTTCTTAATGTGGCTATACTATAAAATCCATTTTAAATAAAGAAATCTCAAATTAGTAACGTTATAGAGAACGATAAGGTTCCAAAAATAGAATTTTAGGAGATTATTCTCTCCATTCTCCCATCATCAAATCAAATTAAAATACTTCATCTGGTAATAAAGTACTCTTATATAAATTTATTACGCTCTTACTAAAAGTAGCATATTTAGCTGCTATTACAACACTTCGAATTGTTAATGCATACCAAAGAAATAATATTTCTGTTAATGTTATTAAACTTTCATCCCATAAGAAATAACCAAGACCTCCTAATACTGATCCACTCCATAAAAGAGTTTACATATAAAAGGCCATAGAATTTCCATAAAATTTCATATTTTTCATTAATGTCAACCCTGGCCATATACTAAACAATATCACCATAAATGGTCCTAATATTGTGAAGAAAATCTAAATTCCAAAATTAAAAGATTACCTAATGATATAAGAAAAACTCTATAAAGGCACCCCAGTTCCATTCCCCTTTATACTTTTCCATTTATTCTTTTTAAATGTTTTCTATGGAAACTGATTGAATGCTAATTTCCCATTAGCGTTTCTCGTATAAAAACCTCTCCTCATCTTATACATTAGTAAGTGATTCATCAGTTGGATGTACTACTGAAATTTTTAGGGATCTACGATTGGTTTGTAAATTAGATTTTAAGATAGATGGAATATCATTATTGTTTTCCATTTTTAATATAAATAAGTATATATATAACTTAAAAATCTATTGCAAAATCTAACATATTATTATATACAATGTATTTTTGATATAAGTAAAATAAAAACAAATTAAAATAATGAATTAAGTTTTAATTCTCTAAATAATTGAAGTGCTTGAATAATGTCATAAAGATAAATCAATTAAAACAAGAGAATGTTGCATTGAAATAATAAAGGAATTATTGCATAAAATAAGTATTTTAATATCATTTAATTTAGCATCTGAATTAAATCATGATAACTTAATAGCATTAGAAAAACATTTCAATTTAGTAACAACTTTAAATGAACTTGATTATATAAATGATGAAGATATCTTCTTAAAATCAATAGCTAGAGTAAGAAGTTGTTTATGATGTTTATTATAACACATAATGTATTTGTCTTTTTTTTGAATGTGTATTAAATAACATATATTATTAATATTAAATGTCAGAAGAATTAGCCAATACTGTCTATCTTGGGGGAATCCCTGAAGATGTTACTGTAGAATAAATCAAACACTTATTTATAACATTTGGTGAAATTAAATCTGTAGATTTACCTATAGATAGTGAAACTTGTATAAATTATGAATAATGAAGAAAAGAATAGAGGATTTGCATTTATAGAATATGAAGATATTGAAGATGCTGAAGCTGCTATTGATAATTATGATGAAGGAGAGTTATTTGGTAAAATAGTTAAAGTCAAACCAGCTAAGCCATATAAACCAAAATCATTTTATACTAAACCTGTTTGGCATTCTGAAGATTGGCAAAGGAAAAATAATGAAGAATATACATACAAAGAACGTGTTAGAAGAGAAAAATAGAAAAAGAGAGATGAAGAAGAAAGAAAAAAAGAAGAGGAAAAAGCTAAAAAATATTAAAAAAAATAGTGATTATATATATAAATCTATATATTTGTAAAAAATAAATGTCTATAAAGAAAAAGAAATATTGAAATTTAGAAAAAAAAAGTACCAATAAATTAAAATAATCATTTTTTAATTTTATTTTTTTTTCAAATATCCAGAGCATTTGGTAATTTTGCATGTGCCTTAGCTGGTTATAAGATATTCTCCATCAATAAATGAATAGAAAGTACAACTCCAATACCTGCCAAGAACAAATAAATAATGTCCACATTTTTCATTGGATCTATACCACCACCAATTGCATATACAAAACCAGATATCATTGGAACAACAGCCATACAGAAATTCTCTATTATCCCCAATAAACCCAAAGCAGTTGCTAATTTCATTTGTATTTATAAAGTACCAAGCATATCTTCAGGAACTGTAGATTGTAAGGCAGGCATTAAAACACTTGAAAAACATGAATATGATAATCCCAATGTAATTAAACTAGATTTTTATTAACATTTTACGCAAAAACTGAATAATAATTAGGAGATGTCGTCAATGGCATATAATAAAATTGCAAATGGGAAATAAAAAACATTATTGTTGACACTACAATAAAAAAAGGTCTATAATGTGTAAATTTATCTGAAATTCTACCTACTATTGGTGATGTAATTGCTAATAATAATCATATTATAAATTATACTCTACCTGCAACTACATAACCCACAGTAACTATTTATCCAGCATCCATTATACTAAATCCAAAGCGTTCATGATAAAATTTATTAGCATTATCAAGGAATGGAACATATGAAGCTAACATTAATGTTGTTATTATGCTCATTATTACAAAAGGTTTAGTAAGCTTAACTAAATTATTAAACTACTATTATTACAATTAAAAACTGAAATTTATTCGGTTTATTTCACACTCTCTACTTTCTCATATTTCATATCTACATAAATCATCATCAATCCTGAAAGAAAGGACTATTCAAATTATTTTAAATTATACTAAAAAACATAAGAATAATCCAAATAACAAGGGTATTTTTAATGAATTAGTCTTTTCAAATAAATAAGGTGATAAAAATGAATTAAGAGCTGCTGCTAATTCTGGGACTGTAAGTATTAATCCCATTGCAGTACCCATATCTTTAGGCATTCGCTACGCTACCATTTTAAACACAGCAATGTGTAAAATATCGCTTGCAATACCAAATATAGCTCTACCACAAAGCATCATACAATAATTATGATAGCATCCTCCAAAAAATATAAACAATTATGAAAGTCCCAATAATAAACTAAATGTAAATACCTAAAATATAAAATATGTTTTTACTCCCCAACGACCACCCATATTATCTATCATTATACCTCCTCCAATACTTAAACCTATATTCGGAATTGCAAAAACGCTGTATAGTAAATTGAATTAGGTTTATGTCAATTGAAACTCCTCTTCTATTGGAACCTCAAGAGCTTGAGGAATATCAAAGGCATAATTGTTTCCTACCATCAAAAGAATAGCTAGTAAGATGATTAAACGATCCATTTTTTAATTATTAATATACACATTAATTTTAATTCATTGAATGAGATTTTCCTTACATTCTATGAATTTTTTTCAAATTTAACAAGTCAATTTTATAATTTTTACTTGAATAACACTCTAACCCTCTCTATCCACTTCACAAATGTTCTTACTTTATATCAAATACCCAAAATATGTACTTCAGTAAAGATCCAGGATTTGATTACAATAGTTAAATAATTGAAGAAATAACTATTTGATAGATTATTATTTAATCTTGCAAAAATGATTTGATTACTTTAAATTCCATAGCATATAATATATGGAATTTAAAATTGCAATTTCTGTTAATTCACAATTATACTTGATCATAAAAATAAATTAATCAGAAAATATTAGATATTAATTTTCAATAAGTTCTAAAATCATAAGCAAAAACGCTATTAAAATGAAACATTTAATCTAAAATAAATTTTTATTTTAGTTTTAACATTAAGAGACATCTGTCACATCTATTTTTTGAATAATAGTTTTGTTTATCATTCCCTTTCTAATACTCTACAATTATTTAGTTATGGTAATCAAACTATATTATTTATAATTAATCAATATTCATTTCAAACTTTAACTTAGTTTTTAGTAAAGTATTGCAATTTTAAAATCATAGAATTATTCATTATGAATTTCTTCATTTGATACATATATAAACTTACATAATTTTCAGAAATTTCATCAAACTTAATTTTAAAATAATTATGTATAGAAGTTGTAATATATTTGTATATATTTATGAAAATCCTTCAGGAGTATAATCCATATACAACTAATTAGCTTTGAAATCATATATGAATAAATTGCCACACTTTCCTTTGTACATAAATTAAGTTTTATAAAGAGTTTAATTTAAATAAATAAAATGGATTACGAAATCATTGATTAAATAGGAAAAGGTAGTTACGGAGTAATTTATAAAGTGAAAATATCATCTCAAATATAAGTGCTAAAGGAAATCTCTTTAAAGAATCTTTCATTAAAATAATAGAATGAAGCTTATAGAGAAGCTCAAATAATGCATACATTAAATCATCCATACATAGTGTCTTACTATAATTCTTAATTAAGAAAAGATAAGTTGAATATCTTTATGGAATATTGTGAGAATGATCTCTATAATTATATATGTAGAAATCCATCTCCATCTGAGAACTAGATATGGTAGTGGACAATATAATTGTTAGAAGGATTAGAGTACTTACATTCATAAAAAATAATGCATAGAGATATCAAACCTAATAATATTTTAATGAAAAGTAACGTATTAAAGATTAGTGATTTGGGAGTGTCTAAAAGTTTGATATCTACTCAATAACTTTAAACAACAAAAGTTGGAACTCCTCTATATTTGGCACCTGAACTAATTAGAAATCGACCCTATGATAGTAAGATTGACATATGGGCATTGGGTTGTGTTCTTTATTTCATTTGTCAAGGAGATCCTCCTTTTAAAGGAAGCAATCTAATTTCTTTAGGATATAATATAGTAAACAAATCTCCAAAGCCAATTAATTGTAAATACTCAAAAAGATTGTAGACTTTAATTTTTAAATTGTTAAATAAAGTACCAGAATTCAGACCAACAGCAACTTAAGCATTACAATAAATACATGAAGATAATGAAGTGAAAATGAAGCCTTAATTCTAGAAGATCTTTTCGGTTCATTCACAACATGAAATGACAAGAGGGGATGATTTGAGAGATTAAAATAAGACAGTTTAAATGATATAGAGTAGAAGATTGGAAAGGATTATTCAATAATAGAAGGATGCTTAATTAAGATTATGTGAAGCTGATAAATTTAGCAAAATTGTACTTTTAAATAGAATTATAAAACATTAATCAGAACATTATGAACAATGATAAATACTTAAATCATAATACTCAAAGTATTTGCTTTCTCTTAAAAGCATTTAATAATTCATCAAGTTTATTTTAATGTTAATTAAATTACAATGGTTTATTCTAATATATAAATATCTTGTTTTTATTTTAAGTTTGTTATTTTGCAAACTTCTATTCAAATCCTTATTTTTTATTTTACCAATCTAAAGAATTCAATTCTAATTCTAAAGAAGCTAATCCCTCTATTTTGTTTCCATGAACTATATATAATTTAATTGAAAAATATTACTTGTATCTTATAAATAGTTCTACTTTCTAATAAAATTTGGAGAAGTCTTAATTGCAGAATTAAGTTTATGATTAGTAAGTGAAAACTAGATTTTTTATGATTATTCTGGACTACAATAGAATTAGATACCTAAAGATTTACGTTTGTAATTCTAATAATTAATATCATCCAAAGGTCGTGTTTTAATTCCAGAATATTATTGTTATTCTTCATATTTATTTATGAATGAAATTTCTTTGATTGGAGTTTAAAATTATTTACTATTTAAATAACACAGATTTTTACTTTTTTAATAAAGATTCCTTTAAAAGTGATGAGTCTCTTATTTCATTTTTATTTGTTTATTATTATAATGCACGTTCATATTATTGTAATTATCTTAAGAATCCATTATTAGGATATACTTACCATCTTTTTCTTTCTAATAGTTTTAAGGCATCTTAAGCATTCATATTACTTTTTTTCATTAAATATGCAGCAACAAGTGTAGCTGATCTAGAAATACCAGCCATGCAATGTATTAATACATTACCATTCTATCTAGCTTTTTCAATAAATTGATTGCTATTATCAAAATGTCTAGTGATATTTTCAGATTCACAATCATCTAAGTATATATGTTGATAATTTTTAAGTTATTTTTATACATCAAATGGTATCTTATTCATACAAATTGATAAAACACCATTGATTTTATGTCTTCTTAAATTCTCCAAACTAGCTAATATTATGTATCAATCTTATCCATACAAGCAGATTCAATATTTCCCAAATAAATTGATCCTGTTTATCCATTATCAATTATGCAACTCATATCATCAATTTATTATTAATAGGATAAAGAACTGCTTTAATAAGATTTTTGAACCATTGGTGAATTACAGAACATTAATTATCAATAAAAATTATTTCACTTTATGTAAAAATTGAAAATTTAGCCTCAAATATAATAAATAAGGCGATCATCATCAATGGGTACAGTAAATATTGAACTAATACATTTTGAAAAGAATGTTTCTCTAAGTTAAAGTACTTTTTTCAAGACTTTCTCTGAAATGCAATAAAAGTATATTAGATAAATAATTAAATAAGAGCTGCAATAACTAATTAAGTGGCAAGGATTCCATCCCCAAAGGAACGATTATAAGCATCACTATCTTACAATAAAAAACAAAGGGAAACAATAATAAATTAAAGTCGAGAAAGATTTGAAATAGCAATTTCTGAAGCTCTTTCTTTGACTCAAAAAAGTCGAAATAGAAATTATTAAAAGTTAAAAAGAAGAGATTAAAACCATAAGAAAGCAGTGGAATTAAAACCATAATAAAAAGGTATAGAAATAGTGAATTTAAATAGTCTTTCAAATGCCTTAATTAGATACACCATTAGAGAATAGTATTGATAGTCCTGCATAATTGACTTTCTATTTTGAATCTTAACGTGTAATACGAGATATTAAGACTTTTAAACCTTCGTTTACAGAATAGGCTGCATTTACATTGTTGAATGATTAACTATATTTATATGGAGGTATAGGAGGAGATGGAGTTAGAAATCAAATGCTCAAATATGATATAAGTATCTAAATATTTATTTTAGAATTCTAAATTTGGTAAGTAGTATAAGGAAATGGAGAACAACCAAAACAAGGAAGAGCAGGTCTCTCCGTTGTCTAATACAAGAACAAATTTATTTATTTTGGAGGGTGTGGATAATTCAATCCAAAATTGAAGATTAGAGAATGTTCAAATTAGGTTTTGGAGTTTACAGTGAGTAATTTATCTTGGGAGAAATTGCATCCTCAAGGAGATTATGTAGAACCAAGAAGATAACATAGAGCTTGTTTGATAGGATCTAAATGGATGTTGATCTAAGGTGGCATTAATTCAAATGAAGAAGTATTATCTGACACTTGTATATTGAATATCGAAAAACAATATTGGAAAATCCATAAAGTCAAATCACCTCCAATATGTTGTCATGCTATAGTTAATATATCATCTTAAGGTAAATTCTAGGAGATGATACAAAATGATATAATGCCTTAAGATCTAATATATTCTTTTGGAGGTAAGGATTCTGATGGTAATTCTGTCAACACAATAAGAAAATTGACTTACTGTTCATTCAACAATATTCCACTTTCTTGGGATATTGTTGAATGTACAGGTAAAGCTCCTCCTCCAATGCATAATCATACTATTGAGTATCTAAGAAAGATTTAAGGCATAGCAGTTATTGGAGGACTTCGAGACTTTATTTTGAATGGAACTTTGGAATCAGATCAATATTATATATTTTATCCTCATCTAAGTCTTTGGCAAGAAGTTATTGCAGAGGGATAAAGAATTCCAAGATGTGCCCATTCTTCAATCATGCTCAGTTCTAAAATTGCAGTATTCGGAGGAATTGGAAATGAACGTTACTTAGAACCAGATGTGGGATTCATTGAAACCGATTAAATGTAAGTTTTTACTCGAGTTACTAAAGAGAAAGTGATGAATAACATGAACTCAAATTTTGAAGAGCCTTCTAAACTGGAAAATTCATTTAGAAAGAAAAAGTCTCTTTTTTAAGATGAATCAGAGATCTCTGATGGATATAAACCATTTAGGATCACACTTCGAAAAACTAATCAAGCTAGGAGATCATACTTACCAAATCCACATCGTAAATAAGTATTTATTAGGTATGACATCTTGATGGGATTCGTTAGGCAGATCATAAATGAAAATCTTCATATACTCTAGAATTTTGATAAATATTTAGAAAGAAAAATTATCTGATTGTTTCATATTAATAATGGTTTATAATGATAAATAGGTGAGGATAGTGAATTATAAGAATTGCTAAGCAATTCAATAAAGTCACTTTAACCTACAACCTATCTTAACATTGAGACAATTCAATCTTCTAAAACATATATTTATTTATTTTTGAATCTACATTATCCACTTATTATTTATTTAAAAGTATATTATGTTTTAATCTATTCATATTCTTACTAATATTAATATTATAGGATCACATTAAATTTCAAAGTGAACCTAAACTAAAATTCTTTATTATTATTACAATATATTTGAATAAAAAATATACCAAAATTTTGATTATTGAATTTTATAACGATTATTTAAAGTTATAATTAGAAAACAAGTTTTAATATAATAACTTTAAGAAAAAAAATTAAATATATTCAAATAAAATTTATTGAATTCAATCATAAATTAATTTATATATATATATATAAATTATATATTAAGAACTTAAATAATCTTGAAAATACAAGATTTATATATTTTTAAGAATCTTAAATAATATCATTAAATTATAATTAATTATTTTTCAATTAAAATTTTACTTTTTACTTAGTTTATGATTTCAAAAATAATATTATTAAAATTAATCAAAAATTTAGATATAAAATAATGTTTATAAGATTTATTTAATTAGTTTTAATTATATAACTTATATATTTACATTCTAAATAGAAATTATTAACTAATTTATACATATTCAATTTAAATACTTTATCAATTGTTTTGTTATTATCAGATATGCCAATTCATCAAATCTTCTCCTTTCTTAATGCTTAAACATTATTTGGAATTCTTTTTACTTTAATTTAATGTTTTCGAATATTATTTTATATTAGATAGTTTGTAAATACAATTATTTAATTATTTATGAATGATATTTAAGCAATAAAATTTATGTTAAGGATATATAAATAAAATTAACAAAAATCTTTTATCATCAATGTCACAAAGACCACCTGTCCCATAAAGTATTATTAACATCTATATTATTAGATTAAGCACCATAACCATAATCATACCCATCCGCTCCATAATATGCTCCATAATATGCTCCCTAATATGCTCCTTTACCAACTTATCTTCCATAGTAATATGCTCCTGCTCCTATTGCACCACTAACATACAGTGTTGCTAGACCTGTTGCTCCAGTTGTTGCTCAACCAGTTGTAGCTCAACCAGTTGTTGCTCAACCAGTTATTGCTTAACCAGTTGTTGCTTAACCAGTTGTTCAAGCCCCTGTTTTGTAATAATCAGTAATTGCTCAACCAGTTGTTTAATAATCAGTTCATGTAAGAATTTTCAAATCTAAATTTTAAGGCAACAATTAAAGGAGAATCAAGAATTGAATATATTCCTTATTAAAAAGCTGTTATGGAATACGAAGAATAAGAAGTTGTTTAATATGTTCCAAGAGAAAAGAAAGTCACAGATTATTATGCAGTTGAATATTAAACCGAATATATTCCATAAGTCTTCTAAGAAAAATATACAGGTATTAACTATAACTAAATATCTAGAGTATGTACCAGTTGACAGATATTAAGAAAGAGTTGAATATTATCCAGTTGAAAGATAAGTTGTTCATGTATAATATTACACATTACACTTTTAGCAATAAGTTTAACCAGTAGTACAATAAGTTGTCTAATAACCAGTTGTTTAATAAGTAGTCTAATAACCAGTTGTTTAATAAGTCATTCCTCAACCAGTTGTTTAATAAGTTGTTCCTTAACCAGTTGTTTAATAAGTTGTATAATAACCTCTCAGTGTTGTTTAACCAGTCTAAACTGTCCCAGTGACATATGCACCATAATATGCTGCACCAATTGTCTCATCTAGAGTTATTCCATCATATCCATAATATCCATCATATCCTTAATATCAATAGGCTCCATAATAATAATAAGCATAGCCATAATAACCACCAAGATCTAATTTGAATGTTCATTGAAATAATAAGTGCACATCAAATAAATTATATTGTTATTTTCTATATTTCAAAAAGTACATATTTTCTCATAGATACTAATAATATTATTTTAATTAAATGTAAATACTTGCTAAATTTAATGAGTACCTAAATTTTTAAGAAAATTATTAAAAAAATAATAAATTTTATTTTTGGATAACTTTGTTTAAAAACATGTTTTCTTAATCTTCTATCCTTATTGGATATGATGTTAAATTTATTAGACTTACTAATACAAAAATAATCTTAAATATGTAGTAGTAATTATATTTTAGATATTTCCAAAATTATATATACCCATAGTTGATAAGTGATAATATTACATAAGGGATTTAAAAAGAGTACTCATTAAAGAGAATTAAATCTTATGAAAATCTCCAAAAAATCTGATTAAAATTCACTTCTAGACAATCCCATATTTATTTAATTATATATTATGTTAAATTAAAAAGAAAGAATAAAAGAATTAATTAATGATGACTTTTCACTTCGCAGTGACCCCCATGACATATCATGAGTGTAAAATCTTCCTTAGATGCCTGATATTATATATATTTTTATTAAATTAATCATATCAAAAATAAGTAGAAACTCTTAACATTATAATTTAGTAATTAATCATAAACTCAAATTTTAGGTTAATTTGAGATTATGATTTGATGTATGAAATCATAATGTTGATAATTTTTTAAACTGGATAATACCAAGAATTATAATTAATCAAATCCATTTTTTCTATTTCATAATTAAGAAAATGCTAAATTTTATATTTTAACAATGCTAATATTAAGTATCAAAAATCAATAATAATTGATTATGATTCTAAATATAATTCAATTTTTATATACTTTTGGTTCTTTTTTTAAAAATATTCATATGAATACATTAAATATATTATATGAAATTTTTTCAAATAATTTAATGGTAGCAGTTGGTATCAGGATTTTATGTAATATATTTCAATAATCACGAAATTTATCTAGTATTCTTTTATTAATAATATTCAATCTCTTTTGTTTTTGAGCAAGTTTCTATGTATTTGATTTATGTTGACCTTAAATTTAATATGGATCTTCAAGTATTTTCATACTGAACATGGGTAAAGGAATATTGGTTATCAAATCCATTTTATTTTGAGTTTATTTTGGAGATGGTGTTATGGTTTTTCTTTGTTTTTTTAATGGTAGAACAGGTATTTTATTATAATTGTGAACAGGAGTTAATTTAGATGGGTCTTTTATATGACCTAAACGTATCATCATGAACATTTTTCTTTTTTCAAGCTCTTCCATATATCCAAAATCAAGATCATTTATTTCTTATACAACTGGTGATCTTTCTTTTCTTTCAATTTTAATAAGTGGTTTTGATCGAACAGCCTCTAAATAATGTGGAGACATATTCATATGTCTTAATTATTATTGATAATTATTACCCATTCCTAGATGAGATCTATCTTTCATTTTCATTATTATTGTTGAATATTTTAGTTTGATTTATTACATCCATTAATGTATTTTAATAAATAAATAATTAGTATTTATCAATAAACTCATACATTGTTATTTATATGTTTGATTTTGAATGAGCAGTAAAATAACTTAGAATAAAATTAAATATTATAATTTTTAAACTGTATTATGATAGATAAATTAAAATGATTGTATTAGTAAATATAAATTTAATGCTACCAATATATAGTTTTACAATTACAATTTGTATTGTCTCAAAGATAAATTCGAATTTCAAATAAGAGTTTATTAAAAAAAACCCTCAAATTGATGAAATATTGACAAAAAAAATAAATAAATAAATAAATATTTGATCATGTTGCTAGTAGAATTTCATTAAATCATTATTCAATAATTTAATCTTCTTCTTTTGGTTATGCTGTATATATAATTGAGTCTCTATCAGACAAAACAAAAGGCAAGAGATCTTATAATTCAATTATTTTATGATTTGTCACTTGTCTTTAATCTATCAAAGAAGGTTTAAGATGCCAGTATAATATATAATAATTGAGCTTGAGTTTATTCAGCAAAACAGTAATCAGAATTAAAAGTGCAATCATTGCAATTACAATTAAGATGATATCAATACTATTGAATGCTTCTAGAAAAATGAAAATACTTATTGCCAAAATAAGTAACACAAGAAAGACAATCACTATTGTAAGAATGAGCCACTTTCCAAGAGTATTAATGTTTCTCCTAATTCTACACCATTTCATACATATAGTATCCATTAATTTAGAATGGATAGGAACAATCATTTTTGCAAATAAATGCTTATTCCTTCTATTTTTTGGCATTCCTTCTAGCTGTATCCTAAATGCACTTTTCGTGATATGTGATTCCTTTACACTGACAATATTGGTGAACCATACCAAAATCCTAATTGCATTCTTGACAAGCCTTAAATGGTTAATCTATTTATCTATGAGTGGATGACAACATATTCAGTATTATTGTTTCATGACTTTTCATCAAAATTGTTCCTTTATGTCTAGCTGATGGTGAGCTTAATGGAGTAAATCTTAAACGATAATTGCTTGATTCTTAAACTGTCAAATCAGAAAGGTTTGAAGAATTCTTCCCTTATTATCGCTACTCTGATAGTTTATTTAATGTTGAATTTCTCATTAAATATTATATGATAAAAAATCAAATTTTAATTTTACAAACCTAAATGGAAATATCATTTCTTATTTGTAAGCTTTCGTAAAAGTAATTTGTTTCTATCAATATGATCAAAAAATTTTTGTATCAAATTTAAAATCTAAAAATTAATATTGCTTTACAAAAAGTTAAAATTTTATTTTTGATTTTAGAGACCTTATTTACATTACTTTCATTTTCATCTTATTTATTGAATATATATACTTTTGATTTATATAATAAACTGTTTCAAGGATTCTAAAATTTTGAAAAGTATCCTAGATAATAATTTATTATAAAAATTAGTTAGAAAAAAACTTTTAAGATGATAGAATATTAAGTTCAATTTAAACCATTTAGTTATATTATAATAAAAACTTTTTTATTATTATAGAATAAAATGCAAAAATCAATTAATGATTGTTTCTTAAAAAAATACATTGAAATTGATTCAATCTAAATTTTTATCAATTTTCTAATGAAATTGAATTAATACTAATAGAAGTTATTAATATTTTATTCATTTTGAATAATTATGAACGTTTTTCTAAATGTTTTAAAATAAAAAATTGATTTTTAATTATGTAAAACTTATTTTGGTTTTAGAAAATAATATATCCAATATTTAGAGAAATCATATAATCATAATAAAAATTATCCAACTTGTTTTATTTTTTCTGTTTAGGCTAAAACTTAATCTATTTTGGTTGGGTCCATTCTATAAGTATTAATAACTATTTTTGTGCTTTTCTTTTTAGTCTTTTTACGTCTATGAATAGCTTTTGGTAAGAATCCTCTTTAAAAATCCATAGAACTGTATCTATCTTTTTCAGTAGGATAATCTAAATCACATTAATTCACCTTAATATATAAAATATCAATACTTCTTTTTCATATTAATTATTGAATGAAGAAAATAATTTTAAAATTTCTGTTTCTTATTTAAATTCTTTAATTCTATTCATTTAATTTTCTATTTCAACTGGGTCTAATTTACTAAAAAATTTTAAGTTTTTTTTCATTGGTGAACCAAGATCTTATGTAAAAGATTTTGATTATCCATGAAAATTAGTTTAAAGTTAATCTTCAAATTTTAAGAATTAAATTTTTGATGGATCTGTATCTTTACCTAATAATTTTAATTTCAATTCTGAAATATGTGATAATTCTTCATAACAATTTGAAAGATTATTATTAAAAATTAATTCAAATTTAGATGCATTTTAAATTTATTCTTATCTTTGTTTATCTAAAATAAAATATAATTTGTATATTACATAACATTATTTAATATTTAGCATCTTAATCAGTATTAGCCTCTAATTCTTTCATTAATTATTCAATAATTGCTCTTTTTTATAATAAGGGCATATCATCTGGAATTTTAAATTATTCCATTAATTCTCTTTCATATTTCATTTTTTCTATTTACTTCTAATATTCAATCTATCTTTATTTTTCTTTTTCTTATTATTCCAATTTTTTAGGCTTAAAAATAAATTATTAATAATTTTTACATCCATTGGTGAAATTTAATTAGATGATTTTCTTCTAGCAAAATTTAAAGCAACTGCAGCTGCTGGTAATTTTAATTACTTTGAATTTTTTACAATTCTAGATCTATTTGATTTATCTCCTTAAGAAGATTCAATAGTTAATTTACTTTCAGGTTAACTATCTTCAGATCTTTATTATTATTATACTATTTATTATTGTTATATTTAATCTTTAATTTAAGATCTAGATTTATTAGTTGACCTATTATTTTTAATACTACTCTATGTATTATTAATAGGTATAAGCATTTTTGATTATGATTAAGTGCCTGGTATCAAATTTTAAGTTGGAATATATGAATTTGAAGGGATGTATCCATTTTTAGGTGATAATGGTTATTTTTATTGAATATTAGTTTAAGTTGGTAATAAATTTTAATCTTCTAATTTTAAGAGTGAGAAAGATGCAGCAGTATGTTGATAATTCTGAATTTTATAATTTGGAGAACCTTCAATAGATTCTTCTATTATTATATTATTTGTTGGTTGAGTTGGTTCACATTAATTAACTTATATATTAATTTATTAAGTAAATGTTTAATTATTTTAAAAGTGTTCTTCATCATGCATAATAGAAGTGATACTAGTTTATTATTACAATAATTTTTAAGTAGATTTTTTCATTAAATCTAAATTATCATGAGTTTAAAATAATGGATAATCTTGTTATTTATTGGATTCAATATATGTAGTTGTTGGTCTTAATGTATTTGAATGTAAAAGATGATTTTATTCATGATGATGATTATGTAATGATTATTCTAATAATGAAATTTATGATTCTTCTTTTGAAACTGAATTTTCATATTATTATTATTCTAATTAATTTTATTGATCATATATTTTTTAATCATTTGATTATAATGTTTTAAGTTTAGTTTTTGTAGATTTTGCAGAAATGATTGATCTAAAAGATTATGGAGGAGAAAGGAAATTACCAGTTGGATGAATTTCTTCAGAACTTTTCTTATAACTAATTTAATCTTTAAAAGAATTTTCTGTTTATGATACAATTTCTTATGTTCCTCCAGGAATAAATGAAAATTTGACCATTTATTATTTTTATTATATCTTATGAGATTTCTTATCATTATCTAAATACTTAGCACTTTAAATTATTTAGATTTAATTGTCTACTTTAATATCTTTTGTATTTTGATCAGTACCATAACTGATATTTTTTAATCTATCACTTTAAGTCATTTATCTTCTTTAAGTACTAAATTCTTCATCATTACTATAATATTTTTATAATTTCTCTTTTAAATCCATTTTGCTAGAATCACTACCCATTGGTAAGTTTTGTGATTATTTTCTTGAGTGACTATATTATTATTTTGATTATTGTATATTAGAATCCTATTTATCAATCCTTATTATTTGCTAATGATTTTTATTTACTTATAACTCTAATTATTATATATTTTCATCACTTTTATTATCTACTCTCTTCAATTCATCTATATTATTTTTATTATTATTAATTATAAAGTCTTCTTATTATTCTATTTCTCCATCCTAACTAACAATATTGATTATAGCTTTCTCATTTTTAGGAATAAATGGAATTTCATTTATTGTAGACTACTTTAGAGATGTAAATTCTTTATTTATATTATCTGCTTATGTACTATTAGGACTATTCAATTAAAATGGATTTATGCAACGTGCAGATGAATCATTTTGTTATTAACTTCTATTAGTGTGATATTTAGCAAAACCACTATTAAATGTTTTATCTAATTTTAAGTTACTATTTCTATTAGATTATTGTTATTATTATTATTATCCATCTATTTCTGTTGTTTATTATTCTTTATTATTGAGATTTCTATTACTAAATGTATGAATGTGGTTCTTCCTCATTTCTATTGATGATGAAGTTATAGTCCTTATTTCATAAGGCACTTTTTTCTCAAGTAGAGGTGTTTAGTTTTTAATTAGATTTCTTTTTACTGTTCCTAAAATCTATATATGCAATGGTTGAATCATTCTTTTATCTGCTTACCTTTTCGTTAATAGTTCACAAAATTAAGCTTAATCTACAAATGATATTGATTATAAATGTCCTGCTAACACTCTTTCAACAATTGTCAATATAAATAACTCTTCTCTTTATATATTTCTTTTATTATCAACCTCAAATTCATAAGCTTTCATTTATATATATATATATATAAAAATAACATAGAAATTATAAAATCTAATTGATATAAACAAATTGAAAAAAACACAAATATATCTTATATGTATTATTATAGCTTATCAATTCTCTATTATGAATATACAATAA